ACTAAATGGGAAAAAAAACTAAAAGTATTTCCTCTAAAATCAGGAACAAGACAAAGTGGTCCCCTCTTACCACTCTTATTCAATATAGTCCTCAGAACACTAGCCAGAGCAATCAGGCAAGAAAAAGAAATCAAATGGATACAAAGAAAAAGTCAAAGTATCTCTTTTTGCTGATGATATATGATCCTATATCTATAATTCAAAAACTCTATCAGAAGATTTCTAGAGCTTATACATGAGTTTATCAGATAGCAGGATACAAGATCAACCATAAACCAATAGCATTCCTATAGTCCAACAGTGATACAGCCAAGAGAGAAATCAAGAAAACCATCCCATTCACAATAACCTCAAAATAAATAAATAAAATTCTTGGGAATTAATCTAACCAGGGAGGTAAAATTATAGAACACTGAAGAAAGGAATTGAAGAAGACCTTAGAAGATAGAAAGACATCCCATGTTCTTGGACAGGTAGAATTAATATTGTCAAAATGGCCATGCTACCAAAAGCAATATACAGATTCAATGCAATCCCATCAAAATACCAATGACATTCTTCACAGAATTAGAAAAAAAAAAACTATTCTTAACTTCATTTGGAAGAATAAAAGGCCCAGAATAGCCTAAGCAAATATTAAGCAAGAAGAGTGAAGCAGGAGGCATCGTAATACCTCATCTGAAATTATACTACAGAGCTGTAAAAACAAAAACAGCATAGTATTGGCATCAAAGTACATATGAAGACCATTGGAACAGACGACACACAGACAAATCCACATACCTATAGCTGTCTGATATTTGATAAAGGTGCCAGAAAATATATCTTGCAGAAAAGATGGTGCTGAGAAAACTGGATAGCTACATGTAGGAAAAATGAAAGTGGACCCCTATCTCTCACCCTGCACAAAACTCAAATCAAAATGGATCAAAGACTTAGACATTAGACCAGAAACTTTACAAGTGCTAGAAGGAAACACAGGATCAACTCTTTATCATACAGGTGATGGCACTGACTTCCTTAACAAGACCCTCAAAGCACAAGAAATAAAACCATCAAACTAAAAAGCTTCTGCACAGCAAGGAAATAATTAAGAGGGTGAAGAGAGAGCTACAGAATGGGAGGAAATCTAGGCCAGTTACTCTTCTGATAGGGGAGTAGTATCCAGAAAATAATAGCAATAATAATAACAACAACAACAACAACAACAACTCATTCAATAAATGGGTTAAAGAACGAAAGAAACTTCTCAAAAGAAAAAACACAAATGGCCAACCAAATATATGAAAAAAAAATGTTCAACATAACTAGCAATCAGGTCAATGCAAATCAAAACTACACTAAGATTTCAACTCGTTCCAATTAGAATAGAAATGATCAAAAATACAAACAATAATGAATGCTGCTGAGGTTGTGGGGGAAAATGTACAGTTGTACATTGTTGGTTGGACTGCAGACTAGTACAACCACTCTGGAAAGCAGTATGGAGATTCCTCAAATAACTAAGGATGGAACTGCCATATGACCCAGCTAACCTACTCCTTGATAGTTTCCCAGAAGATCTAAACTTGGCATACTACAGCGATATAGCCACCCCAATGTTTTTAGCAACACAATTCACAATAGCTAAATTGCAGAATCAATCCAGATGCCCATCAATAGATGAAGAGATTAAGAAATACACATGCACAATGGAGTTCTACTATGCAGTCATAAAAAAAAGAATAAAATTATGGCATTTGTCATATTGAATGACAAATGGATGGAAGTGGAGAATATATGCTAAGTGAAATAAGCCAAACTCAGAAATTCAAATATCAAATGTTTTCTTTCATATGTGAAAGCTAGAGTAAAATAAAGGAAAGGGGGAGGGGAAGGATGGGATAACATAAAGACCCAATAATATAAATTAATAGATGTACAAAAGGAAGTCTGATAGAGTATCGGAAGGAGAATGAGAGAGGAGAAGGAGGATGGGAAGGAAAAAGGGGTGAGCATGAACTGAAATTTATTTCCATGCATGTATGAATTTATTGGGATGAACTCAACTACTATGTATAACTATAAGCTCTAATAAATAAATTTTAAAATATTCAAGCCTTGACATAGAAGTTATCCCCACATACATACCCTCCAGAAAGAAGTGATTCTGATAAATGTTAAGCAAAAAGTAATCAGATAAGATTTCAATAAGGGCTTCAAGTTCACATGCTCCTTGCTCCTGGGCAAATTGGCTTTCAGAAATACCTAGAAACAAAACTCAAGAGAAATTTTGGTCTGAGATCAGTTGCTCTTGGTTAGAGGCACTTCCTAAATGACCAGTATAAAAAAATTCTGTCCCTGCTATTCAAAATGATTTTAAGTTGATTTTTATTTATTAGCTTTTCTTTTCTCTATTCAGTTTACCCTCTGTGTTAGAAGTCAAACGGCCCTGCAAGAAGAAAAAATTTACCAGTCAAGATAGAACATGACTATAAAAATCAGTATAACCAGGTGCGGTGGTGTACACTTGTAATCCCAGCAGCTCAGGAGGCTGAGTCAGGAGGATCACAAGTTCAAAGTCAGTCTCAGCAACTTAGCGAGGCCACTAGGCAATTCAGTGAGACCTTGTCTCTAAATAAAATAAAAAGTGTGGCTCAGTGGTTGAGTGCCCTGAGTTCAACTCCTGGTACCAAAAAAAAAAAAAAATCAGTATCATCACACATATACTAGGAAAACCCACAATAAACAAAATATTTATTTGTTCAGCACATTTTCAAATGTGAGAGGATTCAGGAAGAGAGAAAAGAAACTCCCATCTTAAAGTCAGGGGAAAAAAATCAACAGCCTGAGAAGTTTCCAACGTGGCCTAGGATTTCATCACAGGACTCCCTCAACCCAGCCTCAACAATCGTCATCCCTTGTTCCTCTGGGAAGCACAGTCAGTTCCAGAAGCTAAAGGATTTCTCAAAAGGTCAGAGTTGTGGACACATTGCTCAAAGCAAACAGTAGAATGTAGAAATGAGAGAAAAAGCAGATAGATGTATCAGGACTATCCTACCAGGATTAGCCGAGTCACAGCTGCTCAGCAGGGAAGGGGAAAAAAATAACTGCCTAAGTACAAGACCTGAGATGTCACTTCCTCCCTACACCACATCAACCAGAACCCCATTTTCTTACTCAGAGGGTCACGGAAATGTAACAGAACAAGTTAGAGGTGTGAAAAACCAAGCATTCCTACCGTCCAATCTTGGAATTCCCCGGGGACAGGCACTCAGAGTGATGTCAAGTCTTGTAGGGGTCATCATTTCCAGTTCTACAATGACCCTTCCACAGGGTTAACCAAAATCTCAGGAGCCCAGGTACACGCTGAAGCCAAACAAGCCATGTGGTAGATGTTTTAAAACTGAAGCCTGCCTAACAAGGAAGACCCAGAGAAAAACAGAATGAACTCTATTTCATACCTGGGGATGCATCTGAGTTCCAAAGGAAAGCTAAGTCCAAGCTGAAAACAGACCCAGACCCCACCTAAGCTGGCTCAGAGGCTAGAGTGTCACTTTATTTGGACAGCCACAGACATTCTGGCAGTGGACATGTTTTGGGCCTCCTCCAAAAGCTAATGACCAGAAAAACTAAGGAGAAAAATGGGAGGGAGGGGTCAGGAAGAGAGTGTCTAAGATTCTTAAGAGACTTAAGAAACAGGCCAACCAATGACAAAGTATGAAGCTCATTGTACCTTGATTCAAATAAATTACTAAAAAATACTAGGGCCACAGTGGGGAAAATTAAGACACTGGATATTTGATATCAAAGAACTAATTTTTTATGTGTATAATGGATGGCATTTGGTTATAGAATTCTTTCCCTGATTGTACTTCATTTAATAGTATGAAATATTGATGAATGAAATGATGCCTGGGATTTGCTTTGCAATAATCCAGTGGGGATGAAGCTATTGAGGGAAAAAAGATGGCCATGAATAGAGACTTCTTGAAGCTGGGTGATAAGCGCATGGAGTTCATATGTTGGTATCTCTACTGCTATACATACTTTATTTTACATGATAACAATTAAAATAAAGCAAGTGTCTTGGGAGGGGTGGGATAGTCAGGTACAAGTACCTTACCTTGAACTTGTCTACTGAGACTCCCTCTCCTCCTCATCCTCACCAAAGGAACTTTGTCCATCATGGTGAATCCATGTGTTCTGTGTTGATGGAAAGCCTTTAAAACCTTTGGGTGACAATCAAGGAGCTTGACCAATGAATATATGAGACAACAGAAACAGCAACTCGGGTTCTGATGAGCAGCTCACCTTTTTGACACTTGGAGCTTGAGTTGTAGGAATGTTTTACTAGTAGGCACTCTTGGGTTTACTGGCTTTTCTTTTTCTTATTTAGTTTACCCTCTGTGTTAGAAGTCAGTTATGAGCTGCATTACCCAACAGTCTACAAGGTCCTATAAGGAGCAGCAGGCCACTCTAATGTCCAGCACCCAGACACACTGATAACCAGTGAGGGGAGGGGCCGCTGCCCAGGGGGAGAGGGGATGTAGAGAATACCACCAGCAAGAAAGGAATGAGGTCACTGCAGAAGAGGGCAGCAAAGCCCTTTCTACCTAACAGCAGGTTTTGCCCTAGACAAACTCTCCTCCACTCCCAGTCTGCCTCTTGACTCAGCTTGATTCTTCCCACACAGGAGGCAATGCCAGTTCCCACAAGGCTATAGTCCGAAACTTAGGACTAGGACAACAGAGGGACATGAGGGTCATTCAGATTCCTGACTCAGCCCCAGACCTCCCCTTCTCCTCCCCAAAAGATTGAAGTTAGTAACACCCCATGCAAACACCAAAGAGATACTGTCAGAGCCTAAGGTCACTTGGTGCTACCCTTGAGATATGTGTTCTAGTAGCTTAATGGAAAAGAGAAGCCCTGATGATGGGCACTACTAAGACAGAATTAAAATAACCAAATTAGTGGATGTGATGTTTATACTGGTGGTTGAAAAAGAAACTTTCACAAGACAAAGTTATAACACTTTAATAATTTAAATAGAACCAACTTCAGGGATGCACATACATAAAATTCAAATAATGTAATTGAACAGTATATTTAAACGCATCAAATTCTTAAAAATCCCCCCCCACAAATAGAGTCAGTATCACGAATATGAAAAAGTAATTTTGAAGTACTACAGACCAGAGTAAAACAGACAAGATCATTATTTTGCATTTACCAAGAAGACAAAAACCTGTGGATACATCACACTTTCTAAGAACACTTCTAGGGAATGTCAGGACAAAGTCATTCCAAAGGAATACAAATGATCTCCAAAAAAAAAATGATTGTTTATTTATTTATTTGCAGGGCTGGGGATTGAACCCAGGGCCTTGCACATGGTAGGCAAGTGCTCTACTGCTGAGCTATGTCCCTAGCCCTGCAAAGAGGAATTTATAGCTAACAAATTCTTTGGTCCTCCAAGTCACACTTGTTTTTACTTTAAAATACCAAACATGAGTTGGAATTCTACCTAGAAATGTCTAAATATTAAGCAGGTTAATGTTTATTCCAAATTAGATTTAACATGGAACTCAAAAATCAACCACCATTGGACTTTAGAAACTCCAAATACAGGGGAAAGTAGTAGAGATTTTTTTTAAAAAGGAGAGAAACCTCGACCATCTTGCTCCATTGTAAGCTAAATGGCAAGTAAGTGGCAGAGATAGAATGACCACAGTTTAAGCAAGCGACGTAATTCCTTTTTTTAAAAAAGAATGAATAAATGTGAAGAGCACTATGCTGATGGAATAAAACACTTCTTTGTAGAATTAACTGTGTCTGTTTTTGTGGGAGTGTTAGGTGTTTTTGTTTTAATTTGGCCCACACTGCCCCAGTGGAACAAAATTTAAGATAAATGGTAATAAGGCAACAGCTTCTGGACTGAAAGGCCTACACCACCTGGACAGAGTCACACTGAGGACAAGACCCAAGACCCACACTGACCACAAGGAAAACAAGACCAGAGTTCTCAGTGCATTTTCACAAACACGACAGCACAGCTCTGTGAGGACAGGGGCACAGCTCCCAAGGCAGGCCACAGACAATTCATCTGCACTCTTTTGGGTTCTTGGAAGTTAGAGTTCTTCAGACCTGACAATGATGAGCATTCCCAAAAGTTTCTAGAAATCCTTAGAAAAATATTTCATAAGATCAAAATAAAAATGTCCAAGAAACTTCTAAAGAGACAGCTGTGGGACTAGTTATCTGCCGTGTGAGTACTAAGACTTATAAAATAATGGCTTTTAAAAAAAAGGCAAAAGTATCTACAGGCTAACTGGTGTGATATTCTCATCAAGGCACAGAGAGTTAAATGTCTAAATCCCTGTATGTTGACGTGAGAATAACTCGTAAACAACTCCAGGAACTAATTCCCTGTACTTGAATTAAGAAAGAAGGTAGAAATGTGCCTTTTTAACTCACAGTAAAATTGAAAAAAGTAGATATTCCACCACCTTCCCTTGGTGACTAATGTTAAAAATGGATAGCTGATAAATAAATAAAAACGAAATGTCATTTGTGAATTCATTAACATGATCGAAGCAGAGCTGCTGGACTTCGAATTCACAGAGCAAGGCTGCACACTGTTCGTGAATTATTAGAGTACTTTCAGCATTATACCATTTCTGTGGCAGAGGAAAAGGAACTGCTTTTCCCATGCCCGATTCTCCTATGCTGATAAGACAGATCACTGTCGGATTTCATTCACATACACAGATTCTCCTCCTCCCCAGCACCCTTGGGTTATCTGAATGGCAGTGGTTTGTGCATGTAACTTAGGCTGCTGGCAGTTCACCTTAGACACTGCCCCTACAAGGTGGCAAGAAGAAAGCGCAGGGCTTACCCCTATGTGAATCATTTTTAATTTGACTTTATAAATAATTTTAAATACAATTATTGACAAGGCATAAAGTTAACATCTGTAACAAATGAAAAGGGGAGGCATGATGAAAGACAACACCATTAGCAGTCGGACCTGCGAGACGCCATGCTCCAGTTCAGCTCCGAATGAGAGTGAGAAACTCCTCCCTGGTCTTGGGATCTTCCCGGAACACACCCAGCATTGTACTGGTCACAGTTTTGCTGTTCATTTTCTGCACCCCTCGCATTACCATACACATGTGTCTACAAAACAAGACAATGAAGGTGGTTTTCAGGAGCTGACAGTGTTGATTTGACTTTTTAAAATAAAAAGCAAGGAAGAAGATGCATCTCAGCTCAGTTACCAAGTATGTTAAAATATCCATTCTGAGACAAATGGTATCCAAACTTTTTTTTTTTTAAGTTTTAAAAGTTTTTAGCTTTTATTCTTATCCGTGGTTAAATCCTTGATGCATTCAACAAGAGTAGAGAAAATGAAATTTTCATTATGAGTGAAAATAATATATTTGGTCTTCAGAGACCAAAGCAGTGCTGAGCTAACTTAGGTGTTTAGAGAAATACCCAAGTATGTGCATCTCACCAGGCAGAACTCAGGTAACAGAGACCAGTGGGTCTGAACAAGCTGCTGGAGCCACGTGACATACACTGAGCAGAGGTCAGAGCAGGCCATCAAGTGAATGAAACTGCCCATACTGAATGTGCAATTCTCATAATTCACTGTAACTTAAAGAAGTGTCTACATCTGGAGATCATTATGTGATGTGAAATAAGCCAGGCACAGAAAGACAAGTGCTGCATGCTTTCACTCAGGTGAAAAGCAAAAAAAAAAAAAACCTGATCTCACAGAAGTTGGGCGTAGAATGGCAGGTACTCCAGGCTGGGGAGGAAAGCAGGAGGGAGGGTGGAGAGGGGTTCCTCAGTGGACATGAAGCTACAGTTAAACAGTAGCAAGAAGTCCACAGTCCTGTCTGGGCACCACGGTACGGTAGGGTGACTACAGATGAAAATAATGAATTACAGATCGTAAAAAACTAGAGAAAAAGAAAAGCTTGACGGTTTTTACCATACATAAGTGATAAATATTAGGATACATAGATATGTTTAACCTGGTTTAAATATTACACCATGTATACATGTATCAAAATATCATAGGGGCTGGGGCTCAGTGGTAGCACACTTGCCTGGCATGTGTAAGGCAATGGGTTTGATTCTCACTACCGTATATAAATAAATAAAGGTTATCAACAACTAAAAAAAAAAAAAGTCATATGATACCCCACAGATATGTACTTTTTTTTTTTTTTGGTATCGGGGATTGAACTCAGGGGCACTTAACCACTGAGCCCCAGCCCCAGCCCGATATGTACTATTTTTATGTTTTTAATGTATCACTTTAAAAAAAAAAAAACTTAAACTAAAAAAATTAGACATTTTTTTTCTCTTTAAAAAGAATTATCTTCAGTTGTCCTTTGCACTGATTCTTAGTTTTTTCTGTCTTTCAAATGTGTGACAAAATGTTAGAAAAACTGCTTGCACCAACAAAAAAGCTAAGAAAAAAGAGAAGCATAGAATAAATCTGCAACTATGCTTATAACTCCCTGCACTTCCACAACCCTCAATCCCACTCTACCCCATCCCACCCCACCCCTCCAAAAAAAAAAAAAAAAAACTCTCCCATACCCTGGTTTCTATATCAGCAACACAGTGAACAAAAGAGGGTGAAGGGTTAGGCCCAGAGATAAAAAATCAGCAGTGGCAACTGTGTGACATCACTTGGTGCTAGGAAAACCAAGCAACACTAAATGTCAAGATCAATTTTTACATAGACTGTGATGTTATCAAAGGCAGCTTCAGACTTACGTTGCTTCAACCACTACCCCAACTCCTGCAGGCTGCAAGGCTTCCGTGATTGCCACAGCAATTTGTTTTGTAAGACGTTCTTGGACTGTGAAGGTGACAAAGAGCTCAGTTTAAGAGTCAAACACAGGTTGCAGAATCACATATGTCAAGATCATTGTATTGTCATGAGCAACTAATAAAAAAAAAAAAAAAGGAAATGACCATCAAAAAACAAAGAGTCAAACACAAACAGCTAGATTTTTTTTCTCTAAAATTATTTGACATATTAAAAAGCAGACTTCTGTGACATTTAAGAGCCATGACAAAAGCTTTTGCCTGTTTGCTTTGTCTACTGAGTGAGCCACAAGGAGGCCCTCCCCTCACCTGCACTGCAGGTGCTGAAGAGAACCCCCGGAAGCTCTCCAGCATCTCTGCAGGGGAGCGATTAGAATGGCAAACTAGCTCCTAACATGTGCAGTAAGACCAACAGAATATTGGTTAATGAGCAACTCCACAGAGGTAGAGTGGAGCAAATAAACAGCTTGCAACACTAATAACAAAGGAGCTAATTACTGAATTGTTGAAAACCAAGCGATTTAACCTAAATACTGTGCTGTCTAAAACAACTTGTCTTTGAATACATACAAAAGTGTGCACTGAAGCATTGCATTTATTGGAAAACTGACAAAAATCCCCCAAATATGTATCAGAGCGGGGATTGGCTAAATCAAGCCATGAACACAACAGAATTCTAAGCAGCCACCAAAATGAATGAGGAATGTATGTGGAAATGAATATTTATGTGGAAAAACTGTTTAAAGTTCCTTAAGTGGGGGGGGGGGAGAAAACAAGGCAAATTATCCACTTTAGCTTAAATGTGATACAAATAAACTGATTTGAAAACAACGGCATATGCATGGAAATGTGAAGAGTTGTGCAAACACAACGGTGATTTCTGTCTTGAAACAAACTTTGACTTTTATCTTCCTAGGAGGTTTTAATTTTTGTTATATTCATTACACTTTGAATACAATAAAGATACTTTTTTGCAAGAAAAAAATGCTTTCTGTAAAACAAAAAAAAAAGATTTATATAAAAGTTTACCTTGCAGTCTTCTACTATAGATTTCTACAATCCTAGAAAAGAAGAAAGTGTTTTAGTTAATCATACCTTGCTTGAAGTGAAATGCTAAGTCCACCTCACAAGACTAAAAAGACTTTGTTGAAGCAATAGTTGGATGTGGGCAGGGGATAATGCTTATTCCCATAAAACAAGTTCTACAAGGAGATGCAGTCTCACCGAGACCATAATCACACTACACAAAGTGGGGCTTCCTATGTCTCTAAAGGGGGGCGGGCGGGGACTAATGTATCTCCAAATACAATGTTTACTTAGAAAAAAAAACCACACAATTAAAGATGAGCTATAAAATTTTTAAATTCCCAAGTCACCAATTTTAGGCTATCTCAAATGTTCCAATTAATCATATTGTTTTATCAGAGCTTAAAGATCAAGTTAAAAATAAAAGACTATTTGTTAATTGATATCAGGCCAATTAGCTGGTCACTGGGGTGCATGCCTATAATCCCAGTGACTCAGGAGGTAGGAGGATTGCAAGTTCAGGACCAACCTTAGCAACCCAGCAAGGCCCTAAGCAACTTAGTGAGTTCCTGTCTCAAACTGGTGGGGAAACAAACAAACAAACAAACAAACAAACAAAAAACAGGGTGGCAGGCTGGGATGTGGCTCAGTGTGGCTCAATGGTTAAGTGCTTCAAGTCCTAATATTTAAAAAAAAAAAAAAAGGTCAGGTTAACTATGACACTATGAATAAATCTGTTAATGTAATCAGATTAGAATGGATTTAATTTCTTTCCTTTGTAAGATAGGTTTATGTAAGTACTTTGTATGATTAACCTGATCTTACATCACAATCTGCCAGGTGATAAATTCTTCCCTGTCTAGTCAAGAAATGCAAATATGGCAATGTGAATAACCCATTTGAGGGGGGCACAATTCACAATGAGAATGTTTTATTTAAACTTTGACTTTTTAAGTCATAAATTTGGACACTAAATGTCAAGATCAATTTTTACATAGACATGAATTTGGGGACCCTTCTTCTTCATGTCTCCAGTAGGTATATAATATTGGAGGAATATACCTATATTGTTTGGAACATAAATCTGAGAAAGAATGGTTTTCAAGCTCCTGTCTAGGAGCAATGCCATATTTCTTACTGGGTCAAGTTTCTACATTTATAACTTCTGATGGGTTTTCAGGTGACTAATTTATTACATAAATAGAAGTCACTAATTTCAAAAGTTAACAATGGGGCTGGGGATGTGGCTCAAGCGGTAGCGCGCTCGCCTGGCAAGCATGTGGCCCGGGTTGGATCCTCAGCACCACATACAAACAAAGATGTTGTGTCCACCGAAAACTAAAAAATAAATTAATTAATTAAAAAAAAAAAGTTAACAATATCTTTCTCATTTTTCTTTCCTAAGTAGAATTTCGGGTGCAATATTAGAAAAGTGTTAACATTGGGCATCTGTGTTTTGTGTGGACACTTTAGTAGGGATGTCTCTCATACTTTATTATCGTGCATGGTGCCTCCCCATTTCTGATAGAGTTGTGTATGTGAAAAGAATCATTCATGCATTGTGGGGTTTTTGGTTTTTTTTTTTGAATGCCTATGTGATTAGATAGTGAACTTATGCTCAGAGTGCTTATAATTTCTTATTTCTACTTTAAGTAAGGAGTAGGTGTCGATTTATAATGTCTTTTCAGCATTTCACATACCTTTTCTGAATTAAAAAAAAATCTTTATTTTGTTCTCATTCTATGAAGATAAAAATTAAGTTGTTGATAGACCTTTATTTATTTATTTATTATTTATATGTGGTGCTAAGAATTGAACCCAGTGCCTCACACATACCAGGCAAGTGCACTACTGCTGAGCCACAGTCCCAGTCCCTATGAAGATAATTTGTTAAGAGCTATTTGTTTGGAATAAAATTCTTGTTTGACACTGACAGTTATCTGTCTTTTAATATTGTGGTTGGCAAACCAAGTGTCAGTCTCACCACTGTTACTACATATCTAATCAATATTTTTCTTCATGGCTACTCTGACATTTGAGTACTCTAAAGTTTACCATGTTCTGCCTCAGCACATATTTAAATTTTTCTCATTTCAAATTTACTAGTCTTCTTGAATCTAAAGACTGATATTTTGCAAGTGATCTGGAAACTTTTCCAGAAATTATCTTTTCTAATATTTCATCTATTCTGTTACATCTCAGAACTCCAACTGTCTTCTACATTTGTTAAATTCAATCTCATATTTTCTGCTCATCTCTCTGAATTGTATTCTGTGCAATTTTTTCATATCTTTCTTTCAGTTTACTATATTTTCATCTATGCCTACTCTGCTATTCAATAAGCATATTGAGCTTCGGTGTCATTTATCATATTTTTTCTTTATTTCTAGCAGTTATATTTGGTTGTTTTTCTGATCTGACTGGCTAACTCTGAAAATTTCTTATTGCTTTGTCAAAATTTCAATACTGTTACTTTTTAAAATACTTGCTTCATATTCTCTGATAATTCCAACATCTGCCCTCTTTGCACATCTGTGGCTTTTCTTTTACTTTTGAACTCATGATCCTAAGAATTTCACTTGTGGGAATTCTTACCATCCTGGATAAAAATGCATCAGAGAATGTGCACTTTTTCATGCCAGTGACTACAAAGCTAACTCCCTGGGGCCATTTTAAATAAATTACTGTCTTGGGCTTTTTTTTTTTTTTTTTTTTTTTAAGTACTAAGGGAACCCAAGCCTGGTTGCATGTTGGTCAAGTAGTATACCATGGAGTCACCCCAGCCCCTGAGACAGGTCTCACTGAGTTACCCATGTTGAACTCCAATTTACAATCTTCCTACTCAGACTACAGACTAGCTGGAATTATAGGTATGAAACATCACATCCAGTTATGTACCAGGGACTGAACCCAGGGGCATTGAACCACTGGACCACATCACCAGCCATTTTCGTAATTTGTATTTTGAGACAAGTCTCATCAAGTTGCTTAGGGCCTTACTAAGTTGCCGAGGCTGGGTTTGAATTTGTGATACTCCTGCCTGAGCCTCTTGAGCCACTGGGATTACAGGTGTGTACCACGAGGCCTGGCTAATTTGACTTTTTTAGTTGTAAATTGAGGTTTTCTAACTCTCAGTGCATTCCTTTTTCTCCCATCTTTTTTTAAATGTTAAGGCATATTTTTAGTTACATATCCTCTCATCCCTAGATATTAATATATATTCTCTCAATCAGACTTCCCAGCGATTTCTGATTTGGCCTTGTGATTTACATTCTTTTGGGGTTTTCTAATTTATTCTGCAGAGTTTGAATTTTATCTTAAAAGCTATAAGGAGTCACAAAAGCAACAGCATGATTAAATCCTCAGTCTAGAAAAATCATTTCAGCAGCACTTGAGAACAAATGCAAGGACCCTCAGAGGTTAGAGGCAGAAGAGCCAGGAGCTTGACATACAATCCAGGAGGAAGAAAAGCCCAATAGAGAGTGGTGGCACTAAGGACACAGGCTGGCAGAAGTGAGGTGCTGCATGAGGCCATGAGCACCCAACAACAGTGGACGGCCCCTCCCCGTTCCTTGATCAAAATACTTCTAAGATCAAACAATGATTTAAAAACAAAAATGAGGCCATACAAATACAAAGAAGAAGAAGAATTATTTATGACTATAGAAAAGTTTTAAATTTATTTATGAAAAAATACTACTATAAAGCAAAATCAAAACACAAAGAAAAGGTTGAGAAAAATTACTTGGAGCACCTGACCTAAATGTGTAAACATTCAAAGAGCTTATGCAAATCAGTAATAAAAAAAAGCATCCAAATGAAAAATGAGGAACTTTCTGAATTTCACTCTATGAGACATTCAAAATGAGCAGGGGATGCAGCTCAGTGGTAGAGCTGCTTGCTTAGCATGCACAAAGTTGTGGGAGGGAAGGGGGGAAAGACAGAGAGAAAGGGAGGAATGGAGGAAGGGAAAGGGAAGACGATGTTCAAATAAAAATGATGTCATTTTTAACTTATCAATGTGCAAAGATTTAAAAGTGAGATGAAACTCAGCATTAAGAGTGTGGAGAAACACACCCTTTACCTATTATCAGGGTATAAGTTGGAATGATCTTTATGGAGAGAAATTTGGCAATAGCAAAAATTCAACTACCCTGAACCCAGAAAATCCATCATAGTAATTTCTCTTACATGTAGATTCAAAGTATGCAAAGAAAATATATTAAAACATGTTTAAAGCATTTTTTGCCCTTTTTGACAGTTTCAAACAGCATACTATACTTGTCCATGTCAAAGACTAGTTTAGGGCTGGGGATATGCCTCAAGCGACAGCACGCTCGCCTGGCATGCGTGCGGCCCGGGTTCGATCCTCAGCACCACATGCACCACATACAAACAATGATGTTGTGTCCGCCGAAAAACTAAAAATTCTCTCTCTCTCTCTCTCTCTCTCTCTCTCT